TTTTGTTCGTCTGGAGGAAATGGTGAGTGAGGGTGGGGGTGTGGCGTTGGATGTGCTTCGGGGGTTGGGGAAAGAGAGAAATGCCTGAAAGAAACTCTGTTGGAGTTCCGGTGCATATCTATACAAGTAGACCCCTTTACTTTATTACTCTATGTAAGATATTTGTCTTTGATGTGCCTAGTAATTTCAATTTTAATGTGGCGAACAAATATATATATATATATATATATATATATAAGATATATATATATATATATATATATATATATATATATATATATATATAATGTGCTTTTATTTAATTACTTGAGGAACCACATCACTATAGTTACCTGAGGAACCACATCACACTATAGTCACCTGAGGAACCTATTCACTGTAGTTACCTGAGGAACCACATCACTATAGTTACCGGAGGAACCACATCACTATAGTTACCTGAGGAACCTAATCACTTTAGTTACCCGAGGAACCTATTCACTGTAGTTACCTGAGGAACCACATCACTATTGTTACCTGAGGAACCACATCACTATAGTTAACTGAGGAACCACATCACTATAGTTACCTGAGGAACCACATCACTATAGTTACCTGAGGAACCACATCACTATAGTTACCTGAGGAACCACATCACTGTAGTTACCTGAGGAACCACATCACTATAGTTACCTGAGGAACCTAATCACTTTAGTTACCCGAGGAACCTATTCACTATAGTTACCTGAGGAACCACATCACTATAGTTACCTGAGGAACCACATCACTATAGTTACCTGAGGAACCACATCACTATAGTTACCTGAGGAACCACATCACTATAGTTACCTGAGGAACCACATCACTATAGTTACATGAGGAACCACATCACTATAGTTACCTGAGGAACCTAATCACTTTAGTTACCCGAGGAACCTATTCACTATAGTTACCTGAGGAACCACATCACTATAGTTACCTGAGGAACCACATCACTATAGTTACCTGAGGAACCACATCACTATAGTTACCTGAGGAACCACATCACTATAGTTACATGAGGAACCACATCACTATAGTTACCTGAGGAACCACATCGCTATATTTACCTGAGGAGCCACATCACTATAGTTACCTGAGGAACCACATCACACTATAGTTACCTGAGGAACCACATCACTATAGTTACCTGAGGAACCACATCACTATAGTTACATGAGGAACCACATCACTATAGTTACCTGAGGAACCACATCGCTATATTTACCTGAGGAGCCACATCACTATAGTTACCTGAGGAACCACATCACACTATAGTTACCTGAGGAACCACATCACTATAGTTACCTGAGGAACCACATCACACTATAGTCACCTGAGGAACCTATTCACTGTAGTTACCTGAGGAACCACATCACTATAGTTACCGGAGGAACCACATCACTATAGTTACCTGAGGAACCTAATCACTTTAGTTACCCGAAAAACCTATTCACTGTAGTTACCTGAGGAACCACATCACTATTGTTACCTGATGAACCACATCACTAAAGTTACCTGAGGAACCACATCACTATATTTACCTGAAGAACCACATCACTGTAGTTACCTGAGGAACCACATCACTATAGTTACCTGAGGAACCACATCACTATAGTTACCTGAGGAACCACATCACTATAGTTACCTGAGGAACCTAATCACTTTAGTTACCCGAGGAACATATTCACTGTAGTTACCTGAGGAACCACATCACTATTGTTACCTGAGGAACCATATCACTATAGTTAACTGAGGAACCACATCACTATAGTTACCTGAGGAACCACATCACTATAGTTACCTGAGGAACCACATCACTATAGTTACCTGAGGAACCACATCACTGTAGTTACCTGAGGAACCACATCACTATAGTTACCTGAGGAACCTAATCACTTTAGTTACCCGAGGAACCTATTCACTATAGTTACCTGAGGAACCACATCACTATAGTTACCTGAGGAACCACATCACTATAGTTACCTGAGGAACCACATCACTATAGTTACCTGAGGAACCACATCACTATAAATACCTGAGGAACCACATCACTATAGTTACATGAGGAACCACATCACTATAGTTACCTGAGGAACCTAATCACTTTAGTTACCCGAGGAACCTATTCACTATAGTTACCTGAGGAACCACATCACTATAGTTACCTGAGGAACCACATCACTATAGTTACCTGAGGAACCACATCACTATAGTTACCTGAGGAACCACATCACTATAGTTACATGAGGAACCACATCACTATAGTTACCTGAGGAACCACATCGCTATATTTACCTGAGGAGCCACATCACTATAGTTACCTGAGGAACCACATCACACTATAGTTACCTGAGGAACCACATCACTATAGTTACCTGAGGAACCACATCACACTATAGTCACCTGAGGAACCTATTCACTGTAGTTACCTGAGGAACCACATCACTATAGTTACCGGAGGAACCACATCACTATAGTTACCTGAGGAACCTAATCACTTTAGTTACCCGAAAAACCTATTCACTGTAGTTAACTGAGGAACCACATCACTATTGTTACCTGATGAACCACATCACTATAGTTACCTGAGGAACCACATCACTATATTTACCTGAAGAACCACATCACTGTAGTTACCTGAGGAACCACATCACTATAGTTACCTGAGGAACCACATCACTATAGTTACCTGAGGAACCACATCACTATAGTTACCTGAGGAACCTAATCACTTTAGTTACCCGAGGAACCTATTCACTATAGTTACCTGAGGAACCACATCACTATTGTTACCTGAGGAACCATATCACTATAGTTAACTGAGGAACCACATCACTATAGTTACCTGAGGAACCACATCACTATAGTTACCTGAGGAACCACATCACTATAGTTACCTGAGGAACCACATCACTGTAGTTACCTGAGGAACCACATCACTATAGTTACCTGAGGAACCTAATCACTTTAGTTACCCGAGGAACCTATTCACTATAGTTACCTGAGGAACCACATCACTATAGTTACCTGAGGAACCACATCACTATAGTTACCTGAGGAACCACATCACTATAGTTACCTGAGGAACCACATCACTATAGTTACATGAGGAACAACATCACTATAGTTACCTGAGGAACCACATCGCTATATTTACCTGAGGAGCCACATCACTATAGTTACCTGAGGAACCACATCACACTATAATTACCTGAGGAACCACATCACTATAGTTACCTGAGGAACCACATCACTATAGCTACCAGAGGAACCACATCACTATATTTACCTGAGGAACCACATCACTATAGTTACTTGAGGAACCACATCACTATAGCTACCAGAGGAACCACATCACTATATTTACCTGAGGAACCACATCACACTATAGTTACCTGAGGAACCACATCACTATAGTTACCTGAGGAACCACATCACTATAGTTACCTGAGGAACCACACCCACACTATAGTTACCTGAGGAACCACATCACACAATAGTTACCTGAGGAACCACATCACACTTTTGTTACCTAAGGAACCACATCAGTTACCTGAGGAACCACATCACTATAGTTACCTGAGGAACCACATCACTATAGTTACCTGAGGAGCCACATCACTATAGTTACCTGAGGAACCACATCACTATAGTTACCTGAGGAAACACATCGCTATATTTACCTGAGGAGCCACATCACTATAGTTACCTGAGGAACCACATCACACTATAGTTACCTGAGGAACCACATCACTATAGCTACCAGAGGAACCACATCACTATATTTACCTGAGGAACCACATCACTATAGTTACCCTTGGAACCACATCGCTATATTTACCTGAAGAACCACATCACTATAGTTACCTGAGGAACCACATCACTATAGTTACCTGAGGAACCACATCACTATAGTTACCTGAGGAACCACATCACTATAGTTACCTGAGGAACCTAATCACTTTAGTTACCCGAGGAACCTATTCACTGTAGTTACCTGAGGAACCACATCACTATTGTTACCTGAGGAACCACATCACTATATTTACCTGAGGAACCACATCACTATAGTTACCTGAGGAACCGCATCGCTATATTTACCTGAGGAACCACATCACTATAGTTACCTGAGGAACCTAATCACTTTAGTTACCCGAGGAACCTATTCACTATAGTTACCTGAGGAACCACATCACTATAGTTACCTGAGGAACCTAATCACTTTAGTTACCCGAGGAACCTATTCACTGTAGTTACCTGAGGAACCACATCACTATAGTTACCTGAGGAACCACATCACTATAGTTACCTGATGAACCACATCACTATAGTTACCTGAGGAACCACATCACTATAGTGTCCTGAGGAACCACATCACTATAGTTACCTGAGGAACCACATCACTATAGTGTCCTGAGGAACCATATCTCTTTTGTTACCTGAGGAACCACATCACTATAGTTACCTGAGGAACCACATCACTATAGTTACCTGAGGAACCGCATCACACTATAGTAACCGAAAGAGCCACATCACTATAGTTACCTGAGGAACCACATCACACTATAGTTACCTTAGGAACCATATCACTATAGTTACCTGAAGAACCACATCACTATAGTTACCCGAGGAACCACATCACTATAGTTACCTGAGGAACCACATCACTATAGTTAACTGAGAAACCACATCACTATAGTTACCCGAGGAACCACATCACTATAGTTACCTGAGGAACCACCCATCCAGTGACTGGTGGTGGTGGTGTGGGAAGGTGACACTAGAAAGAAAAACACTAACCTTAATTTAAAAAAAAACATGCTTTTTGAGTTAATTTAGTTTAATAGCTTCTTAACATTATGTGAACCTTGATACAGATCTTTTATATTTCAGATGGCCAACAATCAGATGGCCAACAATCAGATGGCCAACAATCAGATGGCCAACAATCAGATGGCCAACAATCAGATGGCCATCAATCAGATGGCCAACAAGCCAAGTCGAACAGCGGCCAACTGGCCAAGTTTTTTCCTGGACAGTTTGGGGAGGACCTCATCGAAGAACATCACGTGATCGACGGTGATGTAATAGGAGCCATCTGACGTCATGCTGTCCTTGACCAGCTGCTTCACGGCCGTCTCCGTCAGATCACTTCCGGGTTTTTTGACCACGCATGCGCAGATGTTCTCCACGTTGATGTCGTCTGGGACCGGAACCGCCATGATCTCGAGTACTTCCGGGTGAGAGCTGATTGGTTTCTCGACCCACGCTGGGTAAGTTAGTACAATGCCTAAAATATTATGGGATGTTAGTACAATGCCTAAAATATTATGGGATGTTAGTACAATGCCTAAAATATTATAGGATGTTAGTACAATGCCTAAAATATTATGGGATGTTAGTACAATGCCTAAAATATTATCTGATGTTAGTACAATGCCTAAAATATTATGGGATGTTAGTACAATGTCTGAAATATTATGGGATGTTAGTACAATGCCTAAAATATTATGGGATGTTAGTACAATGCCTAAAATATTATGAGATGTTAGTACAATGCCTAAAATATTATGAGATGTTAGTACAATGCCTAAAATATTATGGGATGTTAGTACAATGCCTAAAATATTATGGGATGTTAGTACAATGCCTAAAATATTATCTGATGTTAGTACAATGCCTAAAATATTATGGGATGTTAGTACAATGTCTGAAATATTATGGGATGTTAGTACAATGCCTAAAATATTATGGGATGTTAGTACAATGCCTAAAATATTATGAGATGTTAGTACAATGCCTAAAATATTATGAGATGTTAGTACAATGCCTAAAATATTATGGGATGTTAGTACAATGCCTAAAATATTATTGGATGTTAGTACAATGCCTAAAATATTATTGGATGTTAGTACAATGCCTAAAATATTATGGGATGTTAGTACAATGCCTAAAATATTATGGGATGTTAGTACAATGCCTAAAATATTGTGTGATGTTAGTGAAATGTCTAAAATATTATAGGATATTAGTACAATGCCTAAAATATTATGGGATGTTAGTACAATGCCTAAAATATTATGGGATGGTAGTACAATGTCTAAAATATTATGGGATGTTAGTACAATGCCTAAAATATTATGGGATATTAGTACAATGCCTAAAATATTATGGGATGTTAGTACAATGTCTAAAATATTATGGGATGTTAGTGCAATGCCTAAAATACTATGGGATATTAGTGCAATGCCAAAAATACTATGGGATATTAGTGCAATGCCTAAAATATTATGGGATATTAGTACAATGCCAAAAATATTATGTGATGTTAGTGAAATGTCTAAAATATAAGGGTAAGTACAATTCCTAAAATATAAGGCTGAATTGGTACACTTAGGATAGGTTACTCAAATGCCTAAAATATATGTCTCAGATAAATGCATCTATCTATAACGTGACGTAAGACACACTTTTGTGTACATTCCTATTTAACATGTTTTTACCTCTAGAAATGACGTCACCACTTCGACCAAACACAAAAACACGACCCTCGGGGCTGCAAAACAAAACAAAAAACAAAATTTCAATAAACCCATTGTCAGCTTACTTAGGTACAATACATTCATTTTTTTTTTCAAAAAGTTTCATAAACCGTATACCCTATATGATTTTAATAATCAACGATCAAAATATTGCAATGTTGAAAATGGAATCGGAGTGGTGTTACTGTTTCCTTGTAATATTAGTTGTGCGGAATTATTTTTTTTTACTAGTGTAAAGGGATATAACCTAAAATTTAATCCAATTTGTATCTAAGGCATTCACGAATGCATAAAAACAAAATAAAAACAGGAAATATTTCAATAATTAACATTTTTAACAAATATTTTATAAAGTTTGTATCACAATATGACGTAAACATTTTTTTATAAATCTAATATTAATTATAACTTAAATGTATTTTAAAGACAAAAGGAATAGTTTTTGACAATATTTTCAAGAGGTGCGAGACATTCTTATTAATGATTGATCTGTTTGACGTTTGACACTTTTGTGTGTAAAGTTCCCTTTTTTTACATTGATTCTGCCAGTTTACAATTTCCGCTTATATACTCATCACTCTTTATGAATATGTACCCAATATTTTTATTATGTGAGACTGGAAGAGTCATCTCCCCTTATAGGTAACCCAAAACTAAAAACTGTAAGCCCATACTGTTTTGTTTGAAACATGGAATATTTTCAAACTTTAATATTATTGATGATACTTGTGCATAACATTACTGCTTTCTGTAACTGCATTTTTACATTGAGGCTGACAGTAGTGACAATCCTATTTAATTGTACACATCCTTTTTATATATACTCATCATCCTTTATGAATGCTAGGTATCTAAGATGTAAATCAATAAGCATGGTGTCCTAGTGAATTAGTAGGACGACAGACCTATGTTCTAGTGAGACAGTAGGTCTATGTTCTAGTGAGACAGTAGGTCTATGTCCTAGTGAGACAGTAGGTTTATGTTCTAGTGAGACAGTAGGTCTATGTTCTAGTGAGACAGTAGGTCTATGTTCTAGTGAGACAGTAGGTTTATGTCCTAGTGAGACAGTAGGTCTATGTTCTAGTGAGACAGTAGGTCTATGTTCTAGTGAGACGGTAGGTCTATGTCCTAGTGGGACATTAGGTCTAGGTTGCAGTGAGACAGTAGGTCTATGTTCTAGTGAGACAGTAGGTCTATGTTCTAGTAAGACAGTAGGTCTATGTTCTAGTAAGACAGTAGGTCTATGTTCTAGTGAGACAGTAGGTCTATGTTCTAGTGAGACAGTAGGTCTATGTTCTAGTGAGACAGTAGGTCTATGTTCTAGTGAGACAGTAGGTTTATGTTCTAGTGAGACAGTAGGTCTATGTTCTAGTGAGACAGTAGGTCTATGTTCTAGTGAGACAGTAGGTCTATGTTCTAGTGAGACAGTAGGTCTATGTTCTAGTGGGACGACAGGACTATGTCCTAGTGAATTAGTTGGACGACAGGACTATGTCCTAGTGAATTAGTTGGACGACAGGACTATGTCCTAGTGAATTAGTTGGACGACAGGACTATGTCCTAGTGAATTAGTTGGACGACAGGACTATGTCCTAGTGAATTAGTTGGACGACAGGACTATGTCCTAGTGAATTAGTTGGACGACAGGACTATGTCCTAGTGGGACGGTAGGACTATGTGACAGCAGTCCGATATCATCTGTTACGTGAGGTTGTGGGTGGTTGCTGTGGGTGTTTGCTGTGGGTGGTTGCTGTGGGTGGTTGCTGTGGTTGTGTGAAGGAACTGTGTTGGCGTGCTTGCTTTCTATCTGGAATCACACAATCACGTGAACTCTACTTCACTAGCTCCATTGACTATCCGGTTAAAAAATGAGGTGGTTGACGGCTTGCCTGTCTAAATGATGCTGCTGAGATTGTTGGTGTGAGGGATGGTGTTGATGGTTGGGTGTTTTTTTTTTGTGTGTTAAATATTCCTCGTGTATGAGTGGTTGTATTGTCGCTGAGTGTATGAGGGACCCATGTATGAGTGGGTGAACTGTTTCTGAGTGTATAAGGGACCCATGTATGAGTGGGTGAACTGTTGCTGAGTGTATGAGGGATCCATGTATGAGTGGGTGAATTGTTGCTGAGTGTATGAGGGACTCATGTATGAGTGGGTGAATTGTTGTTGAGTGTATGAGGGACCCATGAATGAGTGGGTGAATTGTTGCTGAGTGTATGAGGGACCCATGTATGAGTGGGTGAATTGTTGCTGATTGTATGAGGGACCCATGTATGAGTGGGTAAATTGTTGCTGATTGTATGAGGGACCCATGTATGAGTGGGTGAATTGTTGCTGAGTGTATGAGGGACCCATGGATGAGTGGGTGAATTGTTGCTGAATGTATGAGGGACCCATGTATGAGTGGGTGAATTGTTGCTGAGTGTATGAGGGACCCATGTATGAGTGGGTGAATTGTGACATTGAAACTATCAGATAATTAGAAGTGATTCTTTCGGACTTTTTTCCGCGTGGGGGGGGGGGGGAGGACACTGGTTAAAGTATATATTTTCTATATAAATTCTATTTAGTTGGGGCGGGGGGGGGGGAGTGCCGTAAGGCTGTCTTCGGGGGTGTGAGGAGGAGATGCCTGAAAGAAACTAATGATAAGAAGCACATGTTTGCTATGCCGTAATTTACATGCAGGAGATGTTGATTGCTAATAATTTGACAAGAGAACTACTCTCAGCAGCTTTGGCACATAGGTACCAATACCAGGTGTGCAAACTCACGTCAAAATTAATAGTAGGTAGACGCACCAAGGTTAAAGTAAAATTGGTAATCAGTATACATCGGATATCACAAACGCATTAAAATCGAATGTCTCGCAAGTCTTAAAAATAATGTCAAATAAAAACTATTCCTTTAGTCTTTAAAATACATTTAAGTTATAATTAATGCAAAGTATAAAAAAAAATTTTAAGGCATATTTTAATACAATCTCTCTATAGTGTATGTTAAGAAGGATAAATATTGAAATATTTCTTGATTTTGTTTTGTTTTTATGAATTTATGTAGGCCTTAGAAAAAAATTGGACTATATTTTAAGTTATATCCCTTTACAATAGTAAAAAAAAATCAGCACAAGCAATATTACAAGGAAAACAGTAACACCAGCGTAATGATATATACATTTTGGTGGAAAAATAAATTACAATGTAGGCTATATTAAGAGATTTTTTTTTCACTTTCACGTAGGAAGACATTAAACAATAAGCCAAAGTTTTAAAACAGATAATTCGCAAAAGATTATCTTGCTTTTAGGTATAAAAATTAGACCTAAATGGGTATTAATGCTACCTCATATGTACAGTATTTGAACTCAGACATTTTTCTCCATGGGGGTGGGGGAGGGGGTTATTTCGTTCGTCTGGAGGAAAAGGTGAAGGGGGGGGGGGGTGGCGTTGGACGTGCTTCGATGTTTGGGGAAAGAGAGAAATGCCTGAAAGAAACTCTGTTGGAGTTCCGGTGCATATCTAAACAAGTAGACCCCTAAACTTTATTACTCTATGTAACATATTTATCTTTCAAGATGTGCCTTGTAATTTTCATTTTAAAAAAATACCTAATGTGCCGACCAAACGCAAAGATATATATATATATATATATATATATATATATATATATATATATATATATATATATATATATATATATATATATATATATATATATATATATATATATAATGTGCTTTATTTAATTTTAAAGAGAATCATTTTCTTTTCTTCTTTTAATGCATAATTAAAATCCTGTTATTATAAAACGTTTTGTTTTTAAAATACATTTTATATTTTTATACAGTAAGTTCACGATCCTCTATCACCAGTTAACGGATCAGAAAACATCCCCCCCCCCCTTCCCCGGACAAAATAGAAGAAAAATTATAAAGTATCTTAAGGAAAATACATACTTTAACCAGTTACGACTAGTTTCAGCCCCCCCCCCCCCCGCCTCCCCGGAAATTTTAGACCCACCCCCCGAAAATTAATTTACACAACCCCCCCCCCCCTCCCTTCTCTGGACAAAATAGAAGAAAAAAAAATTCATAAAAAAAGTTTTAATAACAAGCTTTTATGTAATGATGCACTAAAAAGTAGAAAATAAATTATACACTACTATTTAAATTGCTATAAAGAAAAGCGTGGGTCACTTTAGTACTTTAGTACCTATTGGATACCTTTACTAATATTTGAGAAGAGACCCACGCTTTTCTTTATAGTAAAACGTTTTTTTATGAATTTTTTTTCAGTACTTTACATGTTTTATTTACAATAGAGTGACATGACTAAAAACCATTGCGCGTCTATTGAACGTGATGGCGCGCCTACTGAAGGTGATGGCGCAGCTATTGAACGTGATGACGCGTGTGGTGTGGTTGGATAGACATGCCTATTGATTCGGTCCAAATTTTAATTAATTCATAAAAAATTAATTAGGCATCCAATTAAGTCAAATTTAGTTTCAGATTGCATTGTCTTCATGTCTTGACCCACGTGCCAAGTGTGAATCGTATCGGTCAAGTAGAAGTTTCCGAATTTTCACTCCTACGTTTCTATCTAGACTGACGACAGACTGACGACTTACGACAGAGGAAGTGAGTTAAATAAAAGCTTGTAAAAATTAGAAAGTATCATATTTTAACCAGTTACCCCTAGTTTCTGCCCCCCCCCCTCCCCCGTAAATTTTAGACCCAATCCCGAAAATTAATTTACAGAGTCCCTCCCCCGGAGAAAAAAGACTGAAAGAAACACTAGTCGCCCCCCCCCCTAAAGTTTCAAGCCCCCCCCCCCCCCCCCCGCCTCCGGAGATAAAAGTCTGAAAGAAGCACTGATAGTGACACACACCTCAAATACCCAGCATCCGCGGATATGAACCATCCGTCCTTCCACCAGACGGCATCCGTCCGGTCCGGCTCTCCGACGTAGCGCGTGAAAAGGGTCGGTGACCTGATGACTATGGTTCCTGACACTCCGGCACCGACCTCTCGGAGTTCCTCGTCCAGGATGCGGATCTGACGTCACACATACCATGATGACAGAGATATAATTACGGGTTAATGAGTTCATTTTCTAAGGGTTGATTTCATAAAACGTATCATCTGGCTTTGAAAAAAAAACGTCTGCATGAGTCGAGAAAATAAAACAGTTGGGTAACCATAGTTTCTTTCAGGCATTTATATTGGAAATGTATACTTTAACCAGTGTCAACCCCACCCCCTGAAATTTTAAGCCTCCTCTCCGAGGACTATAGCACTGCTGTCAGCAACCTCCCCCAATAAAATACCGTATTATCTATGCTAAGTTTACGAAAGAACCATTACAATCACAATGATATTTTAAGCCCAAACAAAAACCAATAAAAAAAAAAAAATTAGCCCCACTCATAAAATTTAAATAAACCGCCTCTGCTAACCCCTAACCTAGCTCGACACTATACGAATAAATCCGTCTAAACTATCCCGTACAAAATCACCATTAAATTTAGCAAAAAGGAGCGAAACTAGATGACGTACTGAATGAAACGCAACTCACCTCAACACCTTCTACGGGAAATCCCGCATCAAATGGTGCGAAATCGTCTCCCTCGTTTATTTCATTGACAGACACACACAAAGGTTCGGAGCCAAAGTACATGATGTAGAGCTTAGAACTGAAGGCTCGGATCCTGTAGAGGATTAGAAAAAACATTTAGGAAAAATTTTGGAATAAATAAAAAACAAAAATACAAAACAAAAATGAAAAATTGTTTTACGGGAAGAGACTCCGGTAATAAAAAAAAAAAAAAACTTTTTAAATACTCGTTAGGAAACAATTATTTCTTTGTAGCTTTTTTAAAGTTACATCCGCAATTGACTTTCCATTTTAAAAAAATCTTGGGAAAATCGTGGTAACTATGACAACTGCGGCCATCTTGAAAAATTAACCTCTTCGTTAGACTTCCACCATTCATAAAGTATTATATTTTAAGCCAAATAAACAATGAATTCATAATCTTCTACGATATTTTGGGATACTCCGCTAAAATTTTTAACCATAGTTACCTGTCGCTAAAATTTTTAACCATAGTTACCTGTCGTAAACATTCCTAGTGATTGGCTGAACCCAGGAACCACATCACCATAGTTACCTGTCGTAAAGAGCCCTTGTGATTGACTTAACCCAGGAATTACATCACCATAGTTACCTGTCGTAAACAGCCCTGGTGATTGGCTGAACCCAGGAACACAATCACCATAGTTACCTGTAGTAAACAGCCCTTGCGATTGGCTGAACCCAGGAATTACATCACCATAGTTACCTGTCGTAAACAGCCCTTGTGATTGGCTGAACCCAGGAATTATATCACCATAGTTACCTGTCGTAAACAGCCCTTGTGATTGGCTGACCACCCGTGCAAGCCGTGTCCACGTATTTGCCGGTCGCGCTTTTTCTTGTCTCGACCACGTGACTCATCTCGGCCACCGTGGCCAGCGCGTGGGTCAACCTCTCAGCGTCCTTGACCTTCATGTTAAACTGGGAAAGAGAAAAAAAACGAACTGTTATGCGAGGAACATTTTTTATTAATAAAATTCTTTGTTTCAGATATTCAAAACAATACTAAAACATAGATTTTGCAGACAGTGAGCGTACATTGTAAGAAATAAAAAGCTGTAGAAATAAAATATATTCAGGTGCTTATGATGAATACAAAAGTAAAAAAAAAAAAAAAAAGATCTATATTAATCATGTACGTAGTAGATAAATATATACCACCTACAAAATAAACCTCAAACTTATTACACCAATAAAAGGGAGCAGGGAGAGAGGGGGAGGGGGTAACATTCGAATTCCCAATATAAAAAAAGATTAATGGTGAAGAATCGATCGTTCTATTTGTATGAGAAAAGAAATGCAACAAAACCAACGCCTCAAATCTGATAGTAACGGATAAATATCAAGTCACATTAATTACCATAGACAGTCATCAGACCAACACACTTACACTCTACTTCATCTGCCTAACATAAAAAAACTGTCTATATCTCCCCATCAAAACATAGGGTATTTATCAGAACCACATTGACACAGTCTGGAACTGTAACATACAGTTCCAGTAATACAGAAAAATACAGTAATACAGAAAAATACAGTAATACAGAAAAATACAGTAATACAGAAAAATACAGTAATACAGAAAAATACAGTAATACAGAAAAATACAGTAATACAGAAAAATACAGTAATACAGAAAAATACAGTAATACAGAAAAATACAGTAATACAGAAAAATACAGTAATACAGAAAAATACAGTAATACAGAAAAATACAGTAATACAGAACAATACAATAATACAGAAAAATACAGTAATAAAGAAATACTGTAGAAGACAATGTAGCATGAGATAACGTTGTAACAAGTTCCTTAGAGTTCCTTGACGTAGATAATAATCTAACAAGTTCCTTAGAGTTTACTGACTAATGTAGATAACATTGTAACAAGTTCCTTAGAGTTTACTGACTAATGTAGATAACATTGTAGCAAGTTCCTTAGAGTTTACTGACTAATGTAGATAACATTGTAGCAAGTTCCTTAGAGTTTACTGACTAATGTAGATAACATTGTAACAAGTTCCTTAGAGTTTACTGACTAATGTAGATAACATTGTAGCAAGTTCCTTAGAGTTTACTGACTAATGTAGGTAACATTGTAGCAAGTTCCTAAGAGTTTACTGACTAATGTAGATAACATTGTAGCAAGTTCCTTAGAGTTTACTGACTAATGCAGATAACATTGTAGCAAGTTCCTTAGAGTTTACTGACTAATATAGATAACAATTTAGCAAATATATTTTACTAATTTACTACTTAACTGTATGTTTTGTTTGATAGTGTAAACACGTTAGCTTTATTATAACATATTTCTAGTCAATAATGATGACATACATGTAATTGATACTCGAATGAAGCCAATGATCTATACGTATTATTCTCTTATTTGAGACGATAGAAAACACCAAACCTCCAAGTAGCCCCCTCTCTTCCCCCCTAGGCACATCGCTACCACACCCACCTCTACATGGTCTGTTGAGCAGTGGTTCACGTAATAAATGTTTACAATCGTAGATTTGGGTTAAGTGACGGCTATTAGGGGCAGATAATTAAGCTTGAAACGATTTTAAACTTAGGGGAGGTAACTAAAAGGAGGCTGCTTTCATGGGGGGGGGGGGTTATCGTCCTTAACGATCTACTTATAGTGTTTTAAAGCATACGAGCCGACCCGCGGCGTATTATACGCCGCTACTTAGTTTTATTTTCTACTTTTCAATAATTCAGTAATTCATAATTCATCCCCTCCCCCTAGGTATGGCGCCTTAGGCGACCGACTAGTTCGCCTTATAGGTAGCGCCGGCCCCTGCGTAGATGATAAGTTCCTTAGAGTTCCTTGACTAATGTAGTTGTCAATCTAAAACGTTCCTTATTGTTCCCTGTCTCATCTAAATGACGATGGAACAAGTTCCTCACCTCACAGAAATCTCTCTCTAACGTACACAACAGGTTGTATTTATATTGCAGGAATCCTCTAGGCATTCACAAGAGAACTGTATCGACCCCCGGTAATATTCCGTGTATCAACCTCCCAAATAATACTTACCTTATAGAGTTCCATGTCTAATGTAGATATCAGGTTCCTTACCTCATAGAGTTCCATGTCCAATGTAGATGACAAGTTCCTTACCTCATAGAGTTCCATGTCCAATGTAGATGACAAGTTCCTTACCTCATAGAGTTCCATGTCCAATGTAGATGACAAGTTCCTTACCTCATAGAGTTCCATGTCCAATGTAGATGACAAGTTCCTTACCTTATAAAGTTCCATGTCCAATGTAGATGACAAGTTCCTTACCTCATAGAGTTCCATGTCTAATGTAGATGACAAGTTCCTTACCTCATAGAGTTCCTTGTCCAATGTAGATGACATACAAGTGACTTACCTCATAGAGTTCCATGTCCAATGTAGATGACAAGTTCCTTACCTCATAGAGTTCCATGTCCAATGTAGATGACATACAAGTTCCTTACCTCATAGAGTTCCATGTCCAATGTAGATGACAAGTTCCTTACCTCATAGAGTTCCATGTCTAATGTAAATGACATGTTCCTTACCTCATAGAGTTCCATGTCCAATGTAGATGACATACAAGTTCCTTACCTCATAGAGTTCCATGTCCAATGTAGATGACAAGTTCCTTACCTCATAGAGTTCCATGTCCAATGTAGATGACATACAAGTTCCTTACCTCATAGAGTTCCATGTCCAATGTAGATGACAAGTTCCTTACCTCATAGAGTTCCATGTCCAATGTAGATGACATACAAGTTCCTTACCTCATAGAGTTCCATGTCCAATGTAGATGACAAGTTCCTTACCTCATAGTTCCATGTCCAATGTAGATGACAAGTTCCTTACCTCATAGAGTTCCATGTCCAATGTAGATGACAAGTTCCTTACCTCATAGAGTTCCATGTCCAATGTAGATGACAAGTTCCTTACCTCATAGTTCCATGTCCAATGTAGATGACAAGTTCCTTACCTCATAGAGTTCCATGTCCAATGTAGATGACAAGTTCCTTACCTCATAGAGTTCCATGTCCAATGTAGATGACAAGTTCCTTACCTCATAGAGTTCCATGTCCAATGTAGATGACATACAAGACCCTTACCTCATAGAGTTCCATGTCCAATGTAGATGACAAGTTCCTTACCTCATAGAGTTCCATGTCCAATGTAGATGACATACAAGTTCCTTACCTCATAGAGTTCCATGTCCAATGTAGATGACATACAAGACCCTTACCTCATAGAGTTCCATGTCCAATGTAGATGACAAGTTCCTTACCTCATAGAGTTCCTTGTCCAATGTAGATGACAAGTTCCTTACCTCATAGAGTTCTATGTCCAATGTAGATGACAAGTTCCTTACCTCATAGAGTTCCATGCCCAATGTAGATGACACGTTTCTTACCTCATAGAGTTCCATGTCCAATGTAGATGACAAGTTCCTTACCTCATAGAGTTCCATGTCCAATGTAGATGACAAGTTCCTTACCTCATAGAGTTCCATGCCCAATGTAGATGACACGTTTCTTACCTCATAGAGTTCCATGTCCAATGTAGATGACAAGTTCCTTACCTCATAGAGTTCCATGTCCAATGTAGATGACACGTTCCTTACCTCATAGAGTTCCATGTCCAATGTAGATGACATACAAGTTCCTTACCTCATAGAGTTCCATGTCCAATGTAGATGACAAGTTCCTTACCTCATAGAGTTTCATGTCCAATGTAGATGACATACAAGTTCCTTACCTCATAGAGTTCCATTTCCAATGTAGATGACATACAAGTTCCTTACCTCATAGAGTTCCATGCCCAATGTAGATGACACGTTCCTTACCTCATAGAGTTCCATGTCCAATGTAGATGACAAGTTCCTTACCTCATAGAGTTCCATGTCTAATGTAGATGACAAGTTCCTTACCTCATAGAGTTCCATGTCCAATGTAGATGACAAGTTCCTTACCTCATAGAGTTCCATGTCCAATGTAGATGACAAGTTCCTTACCTCATAGAGTTCCATGTCCAATGTAGATGACAAGTTCCTTACCTCATAGAGTTCCATGTCCAATGTAGATGACAAGTTACTTACCTCATAGAGTTCCATGTCCAATGTAGATGACATACAAGTTCCTTACCTCATAGAGTTCCATGTCCAATGTAGATGACAAGTTCCTTACCTCATAGAGTTCCATGTCCAATGTAGATGACAAATGACTTACCTCATAGAGTTCCATGTCCAATGTAGATGACAAGTTTCTTACCTCATAGAGTTCCATGTCCAATGTAGATGACATACAAATTCCTTACCTCATAGAGTTCCATGTCCAATGTAGATGACAAGTTCCTTACCTCATAGAGTTCCATGTCCAATGTAGATGACATACAAGTTCCTTACCTCATAGTGTTCCATGTCCAATGTAGATGACATACAAGTTCCTTACCTCATAGAGTTCCATGTCCAATGTAGATGACATACAAGTTCGTTACCTCATAGAGTTCCATGTCCAATGGCACCCACATGTCTGGCAATATTCTCGTGGTGCCAACCAGGTTGTCAAAGGGAAACGACCCAGCGATGTACCACGGGAACGGGTTGTAGCTGCCGGGTTGACATGGTTGGGATGAAATAAAAGATGAAGTCATGGTGTTTTATCAGAGTTTTGTGTAGTGTTTGTTTACGTTCCTGTGTTTAGACTTACCTTTGGTTATAAATAAACAGATTCCGTCTGTTAATATCTGTCTCAAACGTTATTTATACCACGAATTTTAATTACACATTTTAAAATTATTTTTTTGTTAAGTATTACACCTATTATACTACTTTGACATAAATTGGCTTGACAGTTCTTACGCTGATTTTCTAACAATAAATAAAGTTATTATTAAAACAAAGAAAAAAAACAAAACAAAACATAACTCCACCAACTTATTACAGCCGATTAAAATAAAATCAGCAAAAAAACTCCACCAAATTATTAAAGCCGATTAAAATAAAATCAGCAACAAAACTCCACCAACTTATTAAAGCCGATTAAAATAAAATCAGCAACAAAACTCCACCAACTTATTAAAGCCGATTAAAATAAAATCAGCAACAAAACTCCACCAACTTATTAAAGCCGATTAAAATAAAATCAGCAACAAAACTCCACCAACTTATTAAAGCCGATTAAAATAAAATCAGCAACAAAACTCCACCAACTTATTAAAGCCGAATAAAATAAAATCAGCAACAAAACTCCACCAACTTATTACAGCCAATTAAAATAAAATCAGCAACAAAACTCCACCAACTTATTAAAGCCGATTAAAATAAAATCAGCAACAAAACTCCACCAACTTATTACAGTCGATTATAAACAGCAGTCAAGCAAACAAAACAACAACAGCAACAAACAAAAAAAAAAAAAAGGAAAAAGGAAAATAAAAGGAAAAAAAAAACCCACAGCCCCCCCCCCCCCCCCTCGCAAAAAAAAAAAAAAAAAGAAAACCCTAACAGCAAAAGCAAGCCACCCACTCTTTCTCGCCACACGGCACAGGTTTATCCAGGGCGCGAGCCTGGGCTGTAAGGGCGCCGTGGGACACCTCACACAGCTTGGGGCGCGCCACGGTGTCGGGGTGCATGGAGGTGCCGACCACCGCCCCGTCTGCCGGTCCCACAGATCGGTCTTGGTATTCCATAGGGTAGTTGGCGAGTCTGTCCAGGAACGTGACGTCATATGCTGGGAAAATATAGCGCTGAGCAGTGGTTGTTCAAGTTAGAGGAAGGGAGGAGGGTGTTGGAGGAGGGTAGAAACTGTGGGGAATGGAGGTGGGAGTTATTGTCTAAGTAATAATAATGACTTCTAACAACACAACTGAGCTGAAATAAATACTGTGAAATTACTATATACTAGAACAGGGGTCTCCAAACTACGGCCCGCGGTGATGGCTAAGGAACTTTGCCCAGAAAAATCAAAGACATGCCTGAAACAACCTGGCCCCCGAACTGAAATGTGATAGTTAATGCGGCCCTCAGACGGAAAAGTGGAGACCCCTGTACTAGAACAAAAAAAAAAAGCGTTGCTTTACTTAGTGAAGCCTCTTATTTTCTATATATTTATGCGTAGATATTTTCAGTGACATTTATATTATAACACTTACGTATGTCATTACAACACTCCAATTACACCAGCCCTAATTACAACAGCCCTAAATATGATTACACCAGCCCTAACTATGATTACACCAGCCCCAAATATGATTACACCAGCTCTAAATATGATTACACCAGCCCCAAATATGATTACAGACGCCCTAAATATGATTACAGAAGCCCTAAATATGATTACACCAGCCCCAAATATGATTACAGGAGCACCAGGCTATATATAATATAATGGTTATGGTTAGTTTTCTTTACAGGATTAAGTCCAGGGACATTGCATCGTTAGTATGGGGGCTGTGTGAACGGGGGTCGGGTGGGGGAGAGGAATTGTAAAGGGTAATGTTTTACTCCCACACAACTGTAGCGACGCTCAGCATAATGTCATAATGAGTTTGACGTCACCATCAAGCAACAGACTGACACACGTCTAGTCGAGGTATCAGACGGACCAACCTGCGTGTCTGTTGGTCAACAACAGCGTCGTCAAGCTCGGCATGCTCCGCATCCGGACACTGGCGATGTACCTGTTCGCCGGATCCAACTTCGCCGCGCGTTTGAAGATCTCCCACATTTCGCTGCCCTCGTCGTTTGAGAGTATGAGGAATTTTGCCTGAGACAAATTTACGGTCTGAAAATAATTTGAGAGTATGAGGAATTTTGCCTGGGACAAATTCACGGTCTGAAAATAAGTTGAGAGTATAAGGAATCTTGAGATGAATACACGGCCTAATTTGAAATCATGAGGCAAATACACAGTGTAAAAATAATTTGAGAGTATGAGAAGTCTTTCTTGAGATGAATCCATCTAATTTGAAATCATGCGCCAATACACAGTCTCTGGATGCAATCAAATGTTTTTTTTAAACTAACCTCTCAAATTCATTTCAAATTACAATTGTATAGATGTATTTTAATACACAATGCCCCCACATGAAAATTTTTAAACACACACAAATATCAGTAAAATATTATAAGCCATGTATGTTGGGTCGCATCTACTCTTCTAATTTTAATGCACGCTAGACGACCAGTTTCTCGTTGGAAAACGGTCTGTTGATTGCACCATCAACTGGATGATAACGTCAAAATTGTAGATACTTGTAGGGTTAAAACATACGATGTACAGATAATTACATAGCTAATAAGTAAAACGGATTGGTCGAAAGGTAGAGCGTTTGACTGCTTGCTCAAAGGTTTTCAATTGGGATCCTAGTTTGGACTTGTGACTGTAGGATGTCCCCGAGTCCACTCAGCTATGATGGGTACCTGACTAACGTTGAGGAAAGTAAAGGCGGCTGGGCATAGTGCTAAACACACCATCCCTTCATTAGACAAGGTCATAAACAGATTAAGTCTTTTTCATATGCTCAACGAGTTGCTGTCTAAAGAGGAATCTTTTTGTTTTTAACTTTTACATAAAAAATAATACATTTACATATAAAATAACATCTAAATTGATGCTGATTCTACAGGAGATTGATTAATAATTGCAAGTAGATTACCTGGACAATTATGTCAGAAGTGCTAAACAATTTCTCCATCGAGATGTGGACGCCCCCCGCAAGTAACACGCCAAAACTGGCCACCCAGAATTCCAGGCTTAGAGGGGTGGACACGACAACGTAGTCACCTTTCTTCACACCTGCCTGTCTTAACACGTGCGTGTACCTGTGTGTGTGTTTAAAGACAGGTTGTGTGACCTCAGGAATATTTTCAAAACCTTGAGTGGGAATTATTTTTAAAAATATCTTTTAAAAAGTTGCACACTTTTGATTTAAATAAGATACTGTAATCTAAACATCACAATTACTCTGAATAATATTTCGAAAGACTACACAGAATAACTATAGATGAACAAAAAGCAAATATGCATGAGATTTATAAATGGCTAATCATATTTTAGTCTACAAGAGCAACCATTTTACATCAATAATTTATTGTTAACTTAAAAAGTTACACTAGTATAAAACCACGCCCCTCCCAAAATAAATGTTAGCCTTTTTTTGTAACTTAAGATTTAAAAAAAAATTTGAAGTTATTACTTTGATGCCAAACTCCAGAGCTCTGTAAAGGTCAAGGATTTTCTGGACATTTTCCCGTCATACGTCACGACAGCCTCTCTGTCTGGATACCGTCGACAGACCTCATCCAGCATGGATACAAACGTGGATGGATGGCCCTCCATAATCTCGCGGTACTAGAATACAACGTTAAAAAAGCTTGTTTTACACTTAACTGGGTAAAGTATTTTTTTTTATTACTAGCTCTAAGTCGGAATATCCGTTTATTTGACTGTGATTATCGCTCTAGAAATATGTCCATACAGTTTTTTCGTGACCAACGCTTTTACTTTTACTATTATAGTTAATAAAAATGCGTGTTTTATTATTTATTTTTGGTGCATTTAAACGCTTTTTATTTTTTAAAAATCTTATTTCACTGTTAAGGTAGATGAATGAAAATAAACTAAAAAATCTACAGAAATTCTGTTTGTTTTTGAAGTAAAAATGCATTCATTTTATAACAGTTTATTTTGACAAAATTTCAATTTATAAACTTGATATGCAAAAAAATGCTTCATATAAATGTAAAATTTAAAAAAAAGAAATAATTTCACCGAACTTACTAAAGCGAGAATTTTAACTTCGTTGGTTAGTTCAACGAGACAGCAATTTTATTTTATTTCCCCCACGAAACTGGCATTAAACAAGCGTTTTATATGAGCACGTTAATGGACACACGATACACCTGCTCATGTGTCCTATTCCAGTCACAACGAAGCTCAGGTGACCGACACAGTACTCACTCACGAAACACGACACGTGAGGGATGTTAGAGGTCGTTTAGTGTTCGACTGTGTGAAGTGTGAGTAATACGTTTTTTTGCCAACTTTGTTTTTAAAACGTCTACATTGAACTGTATTATTTTAATTATTATATGTCATTGTTTTATTTATAATTTGAGTTATCCATGAACACGCCTAAACGAAAGGGTTGAATTGTGCCGCCTCTGCTCTGTTGATCATATGGTACGAAATGATAACATTAAGTTTACTTAAATCATAAAGTGTGGAGGTTGGCGTGGTCGGATGGGAAGGTGTTTGAATACTAGCTCCTAAAGTTCCGAGTTCGGAACCCTTGGGTAGATAAGGCTTTATAGCTAAAGACAGAAACCCATATGGTAGAGTCAACACCATAATTAAACAAATTCTGCCTGGCTGATTATAGTTGAATTGACAAAGGCCATGAAGGCAATTTCAGATAGAAAAGCAAACTGAATTCTTAGTAGATCTAGTACTTATTCTTTATTGTATGACAACCCATTCCAAAACGAAGAAGAAGAAAATAGCTATACTTATTTATCAAACTAAAAACCAAATACTGAATTGTTAATAATGAGTGGCTAAACATTCGCTAGGTGTAAACGGATCTCTCAAGCCTATGAGAATAGACTTTGGCACTATAGAAATAACCATTATAATTTCCAATAAACACGGGCTACAAATATAAACTACTTTTAGTGAATAATAGATGTTACTGTAAACTTGTAAATGGATTATACTGTATCTTAATTAGCTTTGTGGCGCGTGCCAATATTGGACGTGGTAACAATATGGTGATAATTAATCAGGATAAGTGGCTTCTATTACAATTAGCACAGTATTCAGTGTTATCCACAAAAGGCGAATACAGGTCAACTCTTCTTCACCTACGAAAACCGATAAACCCCACCATGCTGGTGTATCTTGTACTGTAAATAATCCTCTTTAGACCTAGCCTTTCACTGGGCAGATGAAGAAGAGTTCTCATGGTTCTTGACCATGGCATATGAAGATAAGGTGTGGTCAGCACTTTGCCCAGACGCCTTTACTTAAGTGTTAAGTACCAATCAGAGACGCTCTACTGCCTGTGAACTCGAGACATTAACAGCCTAGCGATCTTGTATACGATACTCTAATTTAGTACACTACGCATTTGTGTGTGTTTATAAACATCACATATTTATTAGAATAAGTGGTTAGAAATATGGTTTAGGGTAAGAGTTTTAAGGATAGGGTTAGGTTTAAAATCAATATTTGATTTTTTAAAACACGCACAAAAAAAAGTTTTTTACAGATGTCCAAAGTTTCAGTACTTTTGTGAGTTATTTCTATTAATAGTGTTTTTTTTTTAATTAAAGGGAGATTACCTACATCGATTATATCAAAGCAATGAGACATTACATTTAAACAAAAGAAACAATGGGATGCATGGCTTATTAAATTACTCCAAATAATTATTATAAATAGTATCAGATGTTTAATCTACTGTGTAAGCATATTAGATTTCAAATTTAATTCATTTATAATTTAATCGGAAAACTATGAAACGTACTAAATACATTATTTGTTCAGATGCAAATTTTATTTTTAATCAATGTGTTATACACAGTAGGAAGCTACATATAATTTTATTTTCTCTTTACATTATCTACATATTAAACAGTAGTATAAACAATGAAAAAAAAACATTTAATAACAAGCTTTTATGTAATAATGTACTAAAAAGTAGAAAATAAATTATACACTACTATTTAAATTACTATAAAGAAAAGCATGGGTCACTTTAGTATCTATTGGATGCGTTTACTAATATTTCGGAAGAGACCCACGCTTTTCTTTATAGTAATTTAAATAGTAGTGTATAATTTATTTTCTACTTTTTAGTGAATTATTACATAAAAGCTTGTTATTAAAACGTTTTTATGAATTTTGTTTAGTACTTTACATGTTTTTATTTACAATAGAGTTACATGACTAAAACCATTGCGCGTCTATTGAACGTGATGACGCGTGTGGAGTAGTTGGATTGAACTGCCTACTAATGTGGTCAAAATTTTTATTAATTCATAAAAAATTAATCAGGCGAGTAAATATACGTTCTGATTCATGGGTAACTCTCCTATTGTGTTGCGCAGATTTACTACAGAGAGTGTGTTGTTTATGGTATAGTTTGTTATCATGGACTGTCAGCTTTTTATGACAGTAAAATACCATTCCGAACCTTAAGCTCCATGGAGAGGGTGATATAGAGGTCACTTGTATTGGTGATCTCGGCATATGAAGAGATAGTGTGGTCAGCATTATTTCCGATCGACTTTATTTTCCCTAACGTGTCAGGTATCTATCAGAGCTCGGTGGGTGGAATCGAGCCCGGGATCCGAACCCTAGACTTCCGTGTCCGCAGTCAAACGCTCTACAGTTTGACCACGCCGTCCTATCTTTTTATAAATTTAAACACAAAGGTGTTGGTAAATGAAAATAATAGTAAAATAATAATAGATAAGGATATATCTTAGCAGACTCCTAGGAATCTCTTACAGATACAACATTCCTAAGTCCATAAAAGAATCACTCATGCGACGTGTCCCTTTGGCAGTCAATTGAACACAACCAAAACAAGAAAGCTGTGAGATTATAGACATGTCACATGAACCAAACGGCCTGTCCGAATACAACAATGCAAGGTAGTTTTTCTGGAGGGAGAAGAAGGGGAAAAGCAAAGACATTACTGGAGGGATGACGTCAGGGATTACTCTGGGTTGTGCGTGTTTCAGACATTTATATATATATATATATATATATATATATATATATATATATATATATAT